CAATGTATGATTCGGGTTATTTCGCTAGATATTGGACTTTTTCTAAAAATAGTAACAACTAGCCTCGGTCTCCCCTAAATAAAACGAGAAAAAAATTAGGAATACCTTGCCCCCTTTACTTATTGCGTTTGGAGCTAGCAGCAACATGAATATAAATTTTCCCAATGTTTAATTTTTTAAGTTACTTTTATATATATATATATAATCTTTACACAGTTAAGGTTTGCCCGTTATATAACATTGGATCTCTGTGCACATGTAAAATGTTTTGGTCAGATAACGTTTGTTGTTCAACTGAATTGTTTTAAAATCTTCTCAAAAATTCCAAATTAAATATTATCCGTTATTAGAATACATTATTTTTGTATTTTAATTTAACAAATTGGTTTGCTGTTTTAGAGTACAGCCACATTCGGATATCTGCTGTGTCTACCGCGGGGAAGCGATTTTACTATAGGAAGTCCGTAAACTTACCGCTGTCCCCCCTACGTCCCGATCACTTACATTGATTTATATCAATATCTGTTGTATACTTACGTCCTGATCATCTTAAGTACATCTTACTTGAACATTTTTTAACTCGCTAAACATCACTGTAAGTTATACAACAAACAAATAAAAAACTCTACTATCACACATACTTTAATTAAATAATATATTCATTAAAAATACAACAAACAAAAACTCTACTATCACACATACATTAATTGAATAACATATTTATTACAAATACAACAAACAAAAAACTCTACTATCACACATACATTAATTAAATGATATATTTATTACAATTCCACAGTTATACAACAAATATTGATATAAATCAGTGTAAATGTTTGACCTCACAGTTTTTATTCTTTTAATTTTTTATGTCACAGGCAGATAATCTTACAAATCTTGCGTTTAACGAACTAAATATTGTCTTATTCATGGGCGACCGGCATGGCCAGGTGGCTAGGGTTCGAATCCCCGTCCCACCAAACATGCTCGCCCTTTCAGCCGTGGGGGCGTTATAATGTTACGGTCAATCCCACTATTAGTTGGTAAAAGAGTAGCCCAAGAGTTGGCGGTGGGTGACCTTCCCTCTAGGTCTTACACTGCTAAATTAGGGACGGCTAGCGCAGATAGCCCTCGTGTAGCTTTGCGCATAATTCAAAAAACAAACAAACTTATTCATGAAGCCAAAAGCATATATACTCTTTATATTTTAGTCCACCTAAAACACAGTGAAGCCCACAAATCACGAAGCTTATTAGGGAGTTATAAAGAGTTTCTATTTTAACTCTCCTTTCGTTATGGTTAATACGTGTAAAATGGATGATTAAACATTCAGTACACGTTTTCAGTCGTTTAATGTGAAAATGTTTGGGCAACTTTAAGGCCCACGCTTTTTATTTACGTCAAAAGGTCAAATTAGATTCAATGACCTTTCAAAAGATACTCTTTATTTTTTTGCTTCTCGCTCAATGAAAATCTATAGATCAACAAAATTAACTGAACTCCAAACTTATCCATCGAATTTTAGGGGTTTTACTTGGTAATCTTAAAGGATTTACTCCTCGGGTTGACGAAAATATTAACATAAATCTGATGAAGTTCTTCTTCCACCAAACAAGATAATTAATGGGTTTAATTTAGTAATTCCATCTGTCCGGATGATTCCGTTAGCAGAGAGGATATTTCGTGAATCATCTTCCTCTTCCACTGTAAGGTACTCTGTCATTAGAATCATTAAAAATACATTTTCTCTGTCTTATATATATATATAATGATAAAATCAAATACTTCATAAACTTCTAAGCACTTTTAGACAGAAGTTTAGGTAGTAACTCATGAATATATATATATATATATATACTTCGAGTGTGAATAAGAATCTTGCTGAGGAAACAACAACAAAACGACGGCAAATTAATTAATTCTGCGCTAAAAGAAAATGTTAAAAGATAACTCAAGCGATATTTGTTCTTACAGTAATAAAACAAGTTGATTTATCAACTAAATGTACTTTTAATTGAAGAGATATTTTCAACTCATAATATTTATTCCTTGTAGTACGCATTGATATTATCTGTTATTAATGGTCTTTGTGACAGTAATTAGCTTGAGCTTTACATATTGAAAATTAATTAAAGAAAAGGTATAATTATTATTATTATTCGTATGTATAGCATATAAGACAGCTAATATAGCCCCCAGTGGATCAGCGGTAAGATTGAGAGCTTATAATGTTAAAAACCCGGTCGATACCTGTGGTGGACACAGCACAGGATAGCCCATTTTTTCGCTTTGTGTTTAACAACAAACAATCAAACAATAGCACATAATGCATATTACTACTAACAGACATTATTCTATCTTTTACAGCTACAAAACAATCTGTCAGTGATGTATATTGTTTTTCGTTTATATATGGTCTAAACAGGGTCTTCCTGATGAACGAACAAAGTTGAAATGCCTAGTTCAGAGTGACACTTGAGGAGTTATTGGAGTACTAATCTACAAAAGTAGTTCAGGTGGAAAGGACGACGTTTCGGAAGATTTCTGTTTTCAGGCTATCTTGCATCATTTTTTGCAGGATTTTTTTTTTTGGTATCCGGACTCTCTTGTGGTGCTGGGGCAATGTTCGTCTCAGTGAAGCATTTGTCAAGACAGACCGTATATTTCTAATTAATTAACTAATTTCAATTTGATATATAATGTTTTTTATGCATGAGATGTTGTTCAGTTAAAGTAATAATTATAAGCACATTAACCTAAAATATCACAGAATAACTGTTTTTGAAGCCGAAATAAATCAATAAGTTTTCTTATATGCTGCAAAAACACAGTATCTATAGTATGAATAGTTCTGTCTATTTATAATGTGCTTACTACTTATTACATTGATAATGACATTGTTCGTATAATGCACAACGTGTTATAACAGAAATTACTCTTGTGTTATTGCATACTTCACTCAGCACGTAATAAACACAGGATGTAATAAAAGTAAAAAAAAATAATAAGTTTCTAGGAATTGTTTCTATTTCATAATACATACTGTAATATCAGTTACACATTTGTTTTAATACCGTTATATTTTAAAGGAATTGTTTCTATTTCATAATACATAGTGTAATATCAGTTACACATTTGTTTTAATACCGTTATATTTTAAAGGAATTGTTTCTGTTTCATAATACATACTGTAATACCAGTTACACATTTGTTTTAATACCGTTATATTTTAAAGATTAATACAAGTATAAATTGGTTCTTCTAGGCTGTACCGTCTGTTGATTTCAAGTGTTGGGAAAAGGCACGCTCGGCGTCTTTTTTTGCAAGGGAAAATGCTGAAAACTTCCTCAAATGGTGTCGTAGGTTCGGTGTTCATGAAGCTGTTATATTTGAATCTGAAGGATTAGGTAATCCTTTTTATTTGGAAATTATATAAAGACTTATTATGAAAAAAATTGATGTATGAACCCTTAACTGTGCTATATAGCTAAATGCTTTATATAAGTAACCTTCTATAGTACCGAACTTCCAGATTTGATTTTATTGAACATTAAAATTCCGAAGTTGGCAGAACCCTTACTATTCAAACTCTAAATCTCAGAAAACTGAGACTAGCAGTGAGACACGATGATGTATATCAAATCTCTGTTTGAATAGCAGAGTTTCGAGTTTGAACCCGTTCACTTTCCTTCTCTGTTGAATTTCACGCAAAGCTACACGAGGTTTACGTGCGCTAGTAGTCCCCAATTTTGAAGGGATATATTAAGGTACGGAAGCTAGTCAACACCACCCACCGCCAACTCTTGGTCTACTGTTGTCAGACCGTATAATGAAATACCGTTTAATCTCAATTTTCACCTCTTTAGAAGAGTTCTAGCTTTCTGGCCCAGTCAAAATTCAAGAAAATTACAAGGTTATAGGTTATTTAATTAATATAGATAAAGTATTAAAAAGAGGGGAGAAGTGGCTTTATATGTTAAATGTTAGTGACGTCCTTTTGAAGTTAAGGATATTAAAGTTAATAGCAATAAGGTTGAATCTATTTGGGTTTCTGTTAGTGGTTATAAGAGGAGAAGGCTTTTAGTTGGAATTTATTACAGACCACCAGACTAAATTGGTGAAATGAATGAGAAGCTCTATAAACGGGGAAAAGCCATCTGTTAATGAGGTCATAATTATGGGGAATTTTAATTTCAGCCATATAGAGTGGGGAATACTAAAGTCAAGTCATGAGGAAGACAGGTTTTTAGAAACTGTTCAGGATGGGTTTTTCTAGCCAATTGGTCAGGGAACCTACTAGGAACAATTCTATTTTAGACTTATTGTTGACTTCCAATATAGAAATGGGTTATAGTGTGAAGATTAAAGAACATTGAATGCAAATGATAATTGCTCAATTTGGTTTGATGTTTTACTGCATATGCAGATAATAAATAATGAAATGTTAGTTCCGAATTTCGAAAAAAGCTAATTTTTAAAGAATGATACAAAAAATTTCTGTTGTGAATTGGGCAACGGAATTAATTGGAGATACTGATCAAACGTGGAAAACTTTGAAAAATGAATTTTTACAGAATAAAATGGTGGCTGCACGTTAAGAAGCAGGTTGGCTCACATATGGTTTTAAAGATAAAAATAAAAGCAAAGCATTATAAATTTAAGAAGTTAAAATTGACTGCTATAATGGAAGACTTAAAAAGTTATAGAAGATCAAGAAAATTGGTTAAACGAGGAATTAGGAAATCGAAAAACTATATTAAAAATATTGGCTGAAAATTAATAGTAAAGATTTCTTTAAATACATTAGATGTAATCAAAATGTTAGGATGAGAGTAGGGCCTTTGAGGGATGATGTAGGACGACGCATTTCTGATGACTATGAGTTGGCTGGGTTATTAAATTCTAATTTTCTTCAGTATTTACTAATGAAAGTGTAAGCAATATTTCTCTTCCTGAACAAGATAATCACATTATTTGTGGGCCTGTTAAGAAAACAATTGGAAAGTTTAAAGAATGATAAAGCTTCTGGGTGAGATATTTTGCTAAGGGTTTTGAAGGGTTAAGTCCTTCAATAGTGTACAAGTGCTAGAACATTGGAACTTGGCTAATGTGACTCCTCTTTTCAAAGGAGTTAATAAAAAACGGTTTCAGTAATTACAGGTCTATTAGTCTTACACCAGTGGTGGAAAAGTTTTTGAAAGTCTGATATAATATGCTTTGTAAGTCATTTAACAAAGTTTAAATACATTAGAATGTGAGCATGGCTTCACTAACAGAAAATCTTGATTTACTAACCTTCTGGCGTTCTTTGAAGAGATTATTGCTAATGTAGATGGCAGTACAGTTGTGTAAAAAGTGTATCTGAATTTGTAGAAATCAGTTAAAAAGGTATCACATAAAAGGCTTGTTAAGGATGTCTCTCTGTGTATTGGGCTGTATGTATAGAAATATTGAATATACGTATAAAGAGAGAGGTTATAATTCCGTTGTATAAATCATTGGTTAGATCAAATTTGGGGTATTAAGGTTCAATTGTGGGCTCCTGATCTTAGGAAAGACATGAACTTTTGGAAAGGATTAGAAGGAAGGCTACTAGGATGATATCTGGGATGGAAAGGTTATCAAACGAAGACAGGTTAAGATCTCTGAAACAGTTTTATTTGTAAAAAAAAGAAGATGGGATCAAATTAAAGTGTTTAAGATTCTTAAGTGAATTGATAGCGTCCATATACCATTCTTTTACGTACTTAAGTGGTGAGAATGGTATAACTAGGGGACAAAAATTTAAATTTTGGCAAGGTAGGAGTCATCTTCAGCTAAGAAAGCTTTATTTTTGGAACAGGGTAGTTTGTATAAAGAATGTGTTGTTTTCAGATGTGGTGGATGCAGTTTAATTCTAGGAAGTTTAAGGGAAACTTAATAAATATTTAAATGCTAAGGGCTGGCTTTGATTGTTGTATTTTCATTTGAAAGTTTAGTTTAGTGGATGGGAAGGCCTAGATGCACAAACAGGTACCTTGTTGTTCTTAAATTATATGTATATACATGTATATGTAACATCATCTTTACAACTTTTATCCTTAAAGCGATTTTACAGTACACTTATTATAAATTCATTAATAATACATTTAATTCATAAGGCTTTGGAAATTATTACCACTGCATTATTTTGTTTTTTAGTACTACACACCCAACCTCGTACAGTAGTACTCTGTCTTCTGGAGCTTGGAAGAATAGCAGCGAAATACGGTATCGAACCGCCGGGCCTCGTTAAGCTAGAGAAAGAGATAGACGAAGGTGAACATTCTGGATTCATATCCACGAACTCCTCTCCAGTTCCTTCATATACAACAAAAGACTCTTCCCCGTTCTCATCTCCAACCCCTAGGCGTACCCGAGCAGATTCCCCGAACACTGAGGCAAGCACTATCAGCCAAGATTCGAATACAGCGCTCTTACCTCCATTTCCAATAGCTCAATCCAACAGAACACCTGCGAAAACAAAGTCGAAGAATTCTGATTTAGACAAAAAAGTGAGTACCACATTTCAAAACTTCTGAAAAATGTAAACAGAGACATAGACAAATGCAAACGCGTTTTTGATGTTAAAAACTTTGAGTTGTGACATACGGATATCACTTTTGAACCACTGGCAGCTAACAAGATCAAATGCAATTTGAGTATGCCAGATTTACAAGATAGCCCAATCACGAGCAAATGAAAATATTAAATGTGGTTACATTGTTGGAAATATATATATATCGATTAAGTAAAAATGTATAGAAATAATTTAGTGACAAATACAAAATTTGTTTGATTAGATATTATTGAGTTTTTATTATGATAATTCACAAAATTCATTTACGAAAATCCTTCAACTTATAAGCACAATAAAAAAGGTTACGTTTTAAGTGAAATAAATATTTCGATTATTCGGTGGTTTGTGTGACATCACTTAAAACTAAGACTGACAATAATTTTTAACAAAAATTTTCCAATAAGTTATTGCCTTAGGTAGAGCACAAATAGTCCATTGTGTACTTTTTATGTTAGTAACAGATTTATTATGACCACGTAAATCATTGATCACTAGATTATATTTCGCCAGCATAAGGCGTTATGTACCGTATTTTGTATTATTGTTCAACTGTTTCTTTGTAATCAAGCACAAACCTACACAATAGGTTATCTGTGCTCTGCCAACCATGGGTATCGAAACCCGGATTGTAGCGTTGTGAGTCCGCAGACATACCGCTGTGCCACTGGGTTGGAGCGGTTGTTCAACTGAAGAGCTACAGTAATGTATTAAGTCGTCAAGAAATTAATGTCGCTTTTTTAGATGAAAAAACCCGAACAACTTATGTATCAAAACAAAACATTTATTGAATGAAATAGTCTCCATTCTTATCGATGATGATTTTCCACCTTAAAATCAGGTTGTTAATGCGGTGATTAAAGAAATCACTTGGCTTTGAAGCTAAAAACATGTAGATGTCCTCTTTAACACCTTCCACATTTGCATACGTTTTCTCATTA